GACTGCCAACCAAGCATACTATATTCAGCAAAAAAAAAAAAAAAAAAAAAAAAAAAAAAAAAGAGTTCTAGGATAATTCTGGTCTCAGGCATAAGTGTGTGCCCATAGTTCTGGGGTTCAGCCAAGTCTTGTCACAAAATGGTCAGTAGCAATGGGTTGTGATTTACATGATCATATATAAAGGGGGAAATGAGAAGTTTCTTAGTACATTTTTGTAATCTTAATAAGATTTAATAAAAAACAATTATCCCTGAAGGTAGAGATGGGAGTTTTGACTTAGAGTTTGATTTATAAAATGAGGAGGAGGGCGGCACCTGTGGCTCAAGGAGTAGGGCGCTGGCCCCATACACCAGAGGTGGTGGGTTCAAGCCTGGCCCTGGCCAAAAATGCAAACAAACAAACAAACAAAAAGACAAGAGGAGGAATCAAGTTTGGGGACACAACAGGCTTGAACCCTTTTGGGAGATAGTTCTGAGTCAGCACTGTTAGCTAGGCCCTAGATGAAACCCCTGTGTTTGGCTGGCCCTGCTGGTCTGTGGCTAGAAACTCCAGCTGGAAACCATGAGCCAGGTTTCCCCACGAACAGACAAGGACTGTGTGTAGTGCACTGGCTGAGTCTCAGGGCGGACCCTGAAAATATGGGCCACGGTCATTTAGGGTTAGGCTGGAACACTGAACAAATACATTGAATGCTGATGAACCAGAGATGGTTTTATTGTTACACAGGGAATGCTAAAAAATGTCTTCTGCTACCCACTGCAGCCTTCAGTTTCACGTAGAGGTTTTAGAGTTTATAAACCACTGCCCATGTTGTAGTATCCCAGACTTAACAGCAGCCCCATAAAAGATCCTAAGTTAGGGTTCTTTTCTTCATTTTCATAAGCAGGGAACAAAGCAGCCAAGGTTGCTTGGGGTGGTGATTTGCCAAGGTCCCGGTTGGGGGAGGGCTAGAATGGGATTCCAGTCTTGTAGTTCCTTGTCTGGTTTCCTAATGCCCAGGGCCTGGGCATCAGGAATGATAATAATAATAATAACAACAATAATACCAGCTACACTGCCCTCTGCCTCACCACCAACCTTCCCAGTGACAAGGGGCAGGGCCTGGCAGTGGATGGATTCCATGAAGGGAATTAGAAAACCTGAAGGCATTCTAGTGGGAATCTGAAAGCTGATCATTGTAAAGAGGCTTGAGACCAGGCCCCCAATTTATTTATCATCATGGGGTCCTGGCTGACTTCACCTTCATCTTTTGAGTCCAGTAGTGTTTGTAGTTGTAAGTCCTCCAACAGGTTCCAACTAGCTAATGAGCTTCTTCCGTGAGTAAGTTCTGCTGATGGGGCGTCTCCTGGAGAATACTTGGCTAAAAGGAGATTCTTCTGAAGTGGAGGGAAATACATCCCTATCCTCATCTAGGAAAAGGCAGAGAAAGATAGCATGCAGGAAGTAACTGAGCACTGAACAAAAGAAAATGGGCTTAAACTATAGAGAGACTTAAGAAAATCAGCATTGCCTTGGAGTTTCTTTCATCCTGTAGCAATGTCACCCATACTTTTTACAAGGCCCTCTGCCCTTGACAGTTATGCACTGAGCTGACAGCAAGAAGCAATTATAAAAATGCAAAAGACCATTAGTTTGAATTCCCCCAGTTTGATATAATGGGCCTTCTTTTTAGGTCTCAAAGATACAGGATTATGCTGTTTTGCATGAATTTATCATAGTTTTGAGGAAGAGAACCACTGAAGGTCCCTACCTCTTATACTCCTTTCAGTTCTAACAGTAGAAGAAATGTTCCTAACCAGGGCAGTTAGTACCCCAAATTCTGTTCTTTTAAATGTCATCACGGAAGGGGAATCCTAGAGTCTGAAGGCTGATTACCACCACAGCCCTCATACCGAATATACAAAAAAACACGGGCATAAACCTGCTTACAGGGAATGTTGGCTCCAAACATGCTGTCATTTGTGCTGCTCAGAACACCCTCCTGTGCGGATTCTGAGACTACAGATTAGCAGTTTATTGTGGTAGGCCTGCTGCTGGCACCATCTTCAGAAAGATGGAATATTTTAACATTTTGTTCTAGTAGGATTTTGAGGGAGTTTCTGTTCACATGCACGGAAGTTCTACTGTGGAGTTTCTCTGGGAAGGATACATGTTACTGCAGGCACAAAATCCCATACTCGCCATCCTCCAGGGTGCCTCTAAAATTGAGTTGCCTGCACTTCGGGGAGTCACCCACAGGAGAGGAGCTTGATCCTAGACTTCTAGCAAACACATTACCTCTGTGGTCTTTGCACTGAGAGGAAGGTGTCCTCCCCTGGAACAGCAGCGGAGACTGGGTCAGAGCCTGGAGACCACTGGCAGATAGGCAGCTCCGCATAGCACAGCCACGAGGTGGAGTGGAACCTAAAGAGACTCCATAGGGTCAGTGAAGCCCCACAGAGCCCCGAACAGGGGCAGCAGCTCCAAATGCCTCCTTACCACACTCTCTACCCAACAGAAATCATGTGGCATATAGGTTTCAAAAATGAACTCACCAGAAATAAACACCTCATTGTCTCCCGTGGAGGGGAGCTGCTGCATACTCGGAGACCTCTCCTCACTCTTACTAACTTCTGAGTCTTCTCTCAGGTTGTCACAGAGTCTTTTAGCTCCACACTCAGCTTCTTCCTTGGCAGACAGAATTCTCTTCCTGGAACTCAACCCAAACTGTCCCCAGGAGAAAGCTTCCTCAGCCTTAGGCACACTGCTCCTGGGGGGTGACTGGTCTGGCAGTTGACACACCCCCTCAAGCTCAAAATCCTCTAAGATGGGAGTCTTATGGATACCAAGTTCAAGGCCTTGCTCCTTTACCTCAGCCTCTAGCAGAGACAGGCTCCCAGGATGGTCTGTACTGACCTCGCCCCTCCCAGTGGAGGACCCAGCATTGCAGCCCACTGCCCTCTTCTTCCTGGGCCAGTCTTTAATTGTGTCAGGAGTTGTTCTGCCATTGTGCTTGGGGGATGGTGTCCACAGAACCCCAGCATCTGCTTGAAAGGGAGAAGGGGTACTAGAACGGCAGCTGGTGGGGGTACAGGTCTGGCAGATGTAGGTTTGCCCCCCACTCTTGCCTGGTGTGCTGTGTGAGGGGTGGAGGCAAGGTGGTAACATGTAGGTGGGTTCGGGTTTGCCTGAGGTCCTACTGCCCCTGGGCATGCTGAGACCTGGGCTGAAGCTCTCACCTAGAGAGCTCTCCTCCTGTCTTACGGGCTCAGCTTCTAACAAAGAGCTGGGGTCTATCTTTTTAAATCGAAGCTTGAGAAGGCCAGATGCTTGCATCTCCAGCTCAACCTCATAGGTCTGCGAGCTGGCAGATGCTTTGGAATGCCAAGCTGATGCCTGTGGGTTTTCTAGTTGTGCTACAGCCTGGCGCTGCCTTCTGTCTGCAGTATAGCGCAGGTCATAGCAAGGCATCAGAGGTGAGCCAGGTCCAGAGGAAGGAAGAGATGGAGGAATTCCATGGTGAGACAGAGAAGGCTTCTCATCATCAACCACTGTCCTTAGCGCCTCACCTTCTTCTACTGGTGAGATGTTACTTTTCAAGTTATCACTGCCATGGTGTTCGCCTTCACTGAGGAGACTAAGATACTCTGTGTCACTTTTAATAAGCAAAGGAGATGACACATGCCAGGCATTCCTGAAACCAGTGCCTGGGTGGCTCTGTCTTTCAGGAGAAGATTGAGGAGACAGGCTTACCCCTTTCTGGTCCTTTGTAAAGTCTATGGTGGCGACTGGGCTGTCAGCTGTGCCAACCCCAGGAGCAGCAGAGGTGTTAGGGTGGCACTCCAGAGAGCTCCTTTCAGGATCAGAGGTCTTTCTACGTCGCTTCCCAGTTTTATAAAGGGGTGGTGGGGGGATAGTGTCAGATGCAGCTATCCATGAGATCTGGGGAGGAGTTGAGGGAATAGCACAGGAGAGAGATGTGGCTACTGTGGATGACACCCAGGGTTCTTTCCCATCCAGTTCTCCAGGGAGAGAAGACTCTATCAAAGTTGTCCTAAATGGACCCTTCTTGGAAATATCATATGAAGGAGAGGTAAATAGTTTCTTTGGAGTGATAGGTGGGGAAGAAATGATAGTTGTATTCCCTGGTCTCTTTGGGGTTTTGATAGCTTCATCCTTTAGTTTCTGGCCTGGTCTCTCTGCCTCAGAAGCTCCAGAGACCCAAGGCTTTTGGCATTTTTGATTCTGAGGTGCTGTCAGGAAGGCTGCTGCTCTTGGAGGTGTCCTAAGAGAGTATCTGATGGGAGTCAGACACTCACTCCTAGGTTGGGCAGTCAGTGGAGTTGGGGATGCTGGGCAAGAGGGCCTTTCTTGACTGGAATTCACTGAATGTGGTGAAGTATGATTCAGCATAAGCCCAGGTGGATGAGCACCTCGCCCTCTGGGACTTCTTGACACCTCCATTTCAAGAAAGGCACCTTCTTCTGTCAGAGAGTACCCTTTTTGAGCAGTGATTTTTGAATCCAATGGTGAATCATAGCTATGTAAGGAGGAGGTTTTTAAGGATTCTTTAAAAGCTGCCTGCTTTGCAGGTGTCATTTCTGCAGAGGAAGTTTGCAGTCTTTTTGGAGTTTGTGGCATACGAGGGAATCTTTTTGGTGTAGTTTTAGGAAAGGTTGGAGATTTCTGATAACTCTTCTTGGGAGTCTGAAAAGAAAAATGTTTATTTCTGTGTTTGAATATTATAATCCTTATTCTCTGAAGTGTTTTAGTAATATCTAAGACAATTAAGCAAATGGGAAATTTACAGTCAGCCAAAGGAATAACCTAAAACTGGAAATGCCAAATAGTGATCCATTTCCTTCTCCATAACATGACTCAGATTTTACTTGTCTACTTTCTAGGACCAAACACTGTATCCAATTTTAGTTTGTTCTCCTAAGAACAAATAATCTTAATAACGTGCATAGTACAGCTAAACTATGCTTGGCTTGTAACAGAATCATTCCCTCTTTAAACAAGACAGCTATTGGCTGGGCATAGTGGCTCACACCTGTAATCCTAGCACTCTGGGATGCCGAGGCTGATGGATTGCTTGAGCTCACAAGTTCAAGACTAGCCTGAGCAAAAAGCAAGATCCTGTCTCTACTAACAATAGAAAAAACCAAGGCAAGAGGATAGCTTGAGCCCAAGAGTTGGAGGTTGCTGTGAGCTATGATACCACAGCACTCTACCTAGGGCAAAGCTTGAGACTCTGTCTCAAAAACAAACAAACAAAAAACAAGATAGCCACTTCTGACCTTTGCCTAGCACACCCTCCAGGAGACACCCCATTTGCTGTTCACCTTCAGTCAACATGTGTTTGCTTTCTCTTCTCTAATGGACTCTATGGGTTTTCTACAACCTTGCTTGATTGTTATCAAAAGGGAATCTACATGGCATTTCATGTTCAGCAGGGTATAAATACAATGTGGCTCACATAATAACAAGGATATGCAAGAAGCATTAAGGAACACAAAGGAAGGCTGCCGAACCCAGCTGGGGGATGGGAGGAAGAAATAGTGAGTCAGGTCTTCAAGAATGGCTATCAGCAGGAGAAGGCAAAGGATAGAAAACTGGGAAAGAGAGGACTTTAGGTATAGAAAACAACAATGAACAAAGGCACAAAAATGAGAGTCAGCAGCCCTGTGCAGAATAATGTGCAGCCTGAGGCTACTGGGAAAGTGGAGTGTGAAATGGGGTGGGGTGAGGGCTGAGGCTGGTCAGACTAGCAGGGACCAGATTATGGAGGACTTGTCCTGACTGGGGGAGACCAACCTTAGTTGTACAGATCTGTGGTTTTAAAAACTTTCCTCAGAGCTCTGTGTCATCCTCAACCTCTAAGCAATTTACTGGGTTTCCAAATAAAGATTATTATTTTTGAATACAAAGCTTCCATTTTAGGAAAACTTGGAAAACCCTGCTTTAGCAGAGAGTATCTATAGAACTTTAAGCAAAGCAAACATTTTAAGCAAAATCAGCAGAATGTTTCAGAAAGAACATTTTGACCTCTGGTTTGGGGATAGATTTTTGAGAGAAAAGTCTGTTGAAATGTTCCAGATAGAAGTGAATCAGGGTAGAATTACAGGGATGAAGAAGGGTATAAGAAGGTGGGTATAAGAGTCAGTTTGTAAATAAAATGGGAAGGGTTTGATTGACTGGCTATGTCCAAGGAGGGAGAGGAATCAAGGAGGACTCCTAGGTTTCTAATATAGGGGACTGTATTGAGTGGGCAACCAAACAGAAACAGATGAGTGACCATTACATGTTTCAGAATGGTATGGGTGTATGTTTGTGTGTATACATACAGAGAGAGAGAATATGATAGATATACAGTATATTTTACATGCATATGCACTCTGTGGTTTCTTTGACCATGTCTCTTATGTTTTACAAGACTACACAATTCTAAACATTACAGAAACTTTATACCTGGTAATCTGTAGGTATCTCTGAACCCAAAATGTCTCTTGAAGGCCTTTTAATTTTGGCTGAACCCTTCTCTGAGGGGCTAATCATCTCAGACACTGCCCCAAAAAGAAGCTTCCTGGGAGAGCAAATACTTCGGACTGGAGAATTTTCTCTTTGATCTGCAAGTCAAAACCAGCAACAATATTTAATTCTTTCACAACTCTTACCTACCCAATGCTACTAAAACAGCCAGTCTATACAAGAAAGAAAATAATTATTTTGAGAGTAACTGGGGAGAAAATAATTATGCCAGCAATGGAATGATTGCTGCCTTCCTTCCTAAATTTTAATATGACTGCATATTAACCCCAGCTTCTCTGTTACAAAATGTAGGCAACTGAAATAATTTAATTTGTAAATATAAATATAAAAACACACATCTATTAGCCATGCTAATTGTCCATAAAAGAATGTAAAACATGGCTCGGCACCTATAGCTCAACCGGCTAAGGCGCCAGCCACGTACACCTAAGGTGGAGGGTTCGAATCCCCAGCCTGGACCCGCCAAACAACAATGACGGCTGCAACCAAAAAATAGCCGGGCGTTGTGGCGGGCGCCTGTGGTCCCAGCTACTTGGGAGGCTGAGGCAGGAGACTCGCTTGAGCCCAGGAGTTGGAGGTTGCTGTGAGCTGAGATGCCACGGCACTCTACCCAGGGGGACAGCTTGAGGCTCTGTCTCAAAAAAAAAAAAAAAGAATGTAAAACATAATCATTTTCTACCCAGGATAGTTACATAGCTCAGGATTTGGCTATATTGTGGAATTTATGGGTAATTTCCTCTCGAACAAATGAACTAGCTAGACCAATAGGGTGGACAACAAATGTATGTATCCAAGAGATGACTTATGCAAAGGATATGGACTGTTTCTCTAGTTATTATCTTGAACCTCAACTATGTACACCCATTCTACTTCTCCAATGTCAAAAAAGAAAACGCCAAATTTCCTGCTTCTTTTCCCCAAAGCACAGACTAGTGAAGACAGATGGGCATGCATCATTACCTGACTTGTCTTGCTGGAATGAGTGGACTCTTCGCACACTTCGAGACTGTGTCTGAGATACAGGATAGAAGAAACCAGAATTTGTCCGGCTAAATGACAATTGCTTGATTCGAGGACTTCGTCTCAAACTTATTTCTGTAAAGCCAGAACAACAATAACTACCTAGGAAGAACTACAAGTTTGATATTTTCTCATGTTGTCAGAAAATGGGCGAAATTTATATAATACCACATACAAGATAGATGTTCAGCAAGTTATTGGCTTAAGAGGCTTCTGAAGTATCTCATAAAAAGCTAAGAGGGGTTTGATACATGGTCCCAAAAGGTGTAAAAAAACACTAACCTACTAGGACCTACTGTCACTTTCAGAAGTCTCATAAACTGCCACCTTTTAGCATAATGTAGGGTTAAAAAAAAGTTATTATAATGTGACTTTTGCAAAAACAATGCAGATTAGGTTTCTTTCTTTCTTTCTTTTTTTTTTTGAGATAGAACCTTAAGCTATTGCCCTGGGTAGAGTGCCATGGTGCCACAGCTCACAGCAACCTTCAACTCCTAGGCTTAAGTGATTCTCTTGCCTTAGCCTCCCATGTAGTTGGGACTACAGGTGCCTGCCACAACCCCTGGGTATTTTTTGGCTGTAGTTGTCATTGTTGTTTGGCAGGCCCGGGGTAGATTCAAACCCGCCAGCTCTGGTGTATGTGGCTGGTGTCTTAGCTGCTTGAGCTACAGGCACTGAGCCACAGGTTAGGTTTCATATGTATATGTTATACACATATATTTATATACACACATTACATACACACAATACATACATTACATACATGTATATATTATACACATTTGTATGGAAATAATAAAATGATAACAGAGTATTTCTGAGTTATAGAATTATCAAATGATATTTGAAATTTTAGCTTCTATATACTTTGACTTTTATACTACAAATGTAAATTACTTGGACAACTAAAAAAAGAAGTTAGTTTTTAAAAACCCTTCGTCTTGTATATTTTTAAAATAGGCTCCTGCACTTTGTATAACATGTAGATTAGCCTTAACTGTGAATTCTAAATCTATTGTGTAAAGTTATTTCTTCTCCAGAAATTCTCACTAAATTCTGTGTAACAGAAAATTCACTTTTATATAGTTACTGAGCTATACTGTGGCTCAGGGCCATCACAATTTCTATAAAATATCTTAGGATATGCCAAGTGACAAGTGAAAGATTTTCATAGAAGCTAGATAAAATGTGCTTAAAAAAAAAAAAGTAACACTCACCACCTCCCTTTTCAGGAGACTCTTCAACAATATCAATATTAGGACCAGGATCAGAGGATCTTGAAGAACATTAAGCACAGAGATTATTCACTATCACTTGTCATTAATATACAATAAAGACAGAAATGGCTTCTCATCTAACAAAGTAACAAACATCACAGGGGTTGATAACAGAAATGTTAGTAAGCACTCTTATACGATTATTGTTGAGAGAAATGGTTAGAATCTTCCTTTTTTGGAAAGTAATTTTACATCAAAATTTATTTAAAAATAGAGCTCATTTTATTTTTTTGAGACGGAGTCTCACTTTGTGACCCTTGGTAGAGTGCCATGGTTTCATAGTTCACAGCAACCTCAAACTCTTGGGCTCAAGTAATCCCCTTGCCTCCCAGAACTGGGGAAGGAGCAGTTAAGAAAGACAAAGAACATTCAGACAATAATAACCCTACTGCAACCAATCACCATGGAAAAAACTGCAGCCCCATCCACACCTCCATCAGCAAGGGCCAAGTTGGGATCCTAGACTTCTAGACTTCCCCATGGCAACAGATAAATGGATTTAAAAATTGTGGAATATCCATTGAATGGAATACTACTCAGCACTAAAGAGATGAAACATTGCACGTAACAACATGGATAAATCTTAAAATAATTACACCAGGTGAGAGAGGCCAGACAAGAGTACACTCTGTAAGGTTCTCCTGCCTTCAGAGAGTTTATAGAACACTTTTTGGTTATAAACAACACAATTAAGATTTAAGTTGTGGTTTGGCACTGGTAGCTCAGTGGTTAATATTTTATTTTATTTTTTTGAGACAGAGTCTTACTTTATGACCCTCGGTAGTGACAAAGTGAGTGACACAGCACCAGCCACATACACCAGGGCTGGCAGGTTCAAGCCCAGACCAGGCCTGCTAAACAACAATGACAACTACAATTAAAAAAAAGAAAAAATAGCTGGGCGTTGTAGTGGGCACCTGTAGTCCCAGCTACTTGGGAAGCTGAGAGAATAGCTTGAGCCCAAGAGTTTGAAGTTGCTGTGAGTTGTGATGCTATGGCACTCTGAGGAGTGACATAATGAGACTCTGTCTCAAAAAAAAAAAAAAAAAAAAGGGGATTAAGTCCTGTAGGTCAAGAGAAGGCAAGTAGTGGCCAACAAGGTTGTTATGAAGGTGTATGAAGAAGCCTAGGCAAGGATATCACTCACCTGCCCTTGATTTGTCTTTGAAGCAGTCTTCTGGAGATTTGCTTATGTACAGGAGTCTCAGCCACATTCTTAGTCAGCAGTTTGTGATAACCTAAAATGTGAAAACAGCCGAAATTATAAATTTCACTTAACCTTATCAAGAAGCAGCAGTAAGACAAAGGGAGCAGCATGAAGGTCTATATAGCTTATTCCTTAGTTGGAGTGGATCTTAATGGCCTTTGGGCTAAGTCCTGTGCTTACAGGACTTAATATCACAGAACAAATTATCATCACTATTAGTGATTAAATGATGACATAAGCCAAGTATACATAAAATTATTTATCTAATAGGCAATCTTGAAATAAAATGTGTTTACTTGATAGGATTAACATATCCATCTATCTAGTTCGTGGTTCTAATATTTATGATTAAATGAAATAAAATACATGAAAATGCTGATATGCTACACAAATGTTAATTTTTTTTTTTTTTTTTTTTTTTGAGACAGAGTC